TTTGTATTCCAATCTAACTATAAAAATTTTTTTTCTAAAGAATTAAGTTTGTTATTTTTACTTTCAAAATTTAAAAAAAAAATTTTTATCAGAATTTTTTTTAATGGAAAATTCGCAATCACAGTATTTATACACCCAATTTTGCTTTGTAAAATAATATTTTTTGTTACTCCAATTAATTTTCATATATAAAATTATATTTAAAACTTTTAAATGTTTTTCAAATTTTTTTATTCCAATCTAACTATAAAATTTTTTTTTTCTAAAGAATTAAGTTTACAATTTTTACTTTCGAAATTTAAAAAAAAAAATTTTATCCCAATTTATTTTAATGTATAATTCGCAATCCCAGTATTTATACACCCAATTTTACAACAATTTTTATAACATGAACGGGGTATATTAAGTTTGCCACAATGTTTGTAACACCCAAAAGGAAACGTCGGAGACCATATAAATTATTCATATATATAAAATATCAGCGTGACGAGCTGAGTCTGCATGTTTGTAGGTCTGTATATGCGCCAACCGTTCTCCCAGTTTTTGAGATTTTGACCTGAAATTTTGCACAGGTTCTTTTCTCACCAAAAAGCTACTCATTTGTCGGAACTGTTGTAGCATATAGCTGCGATACAAACTAAACGATAAAAATCAAGAAAAATATCGTTTTATACCCTTTCATACAATAAAAAATATTCCTTTGAAGAGTATTATTGCTTCGGTGCAGCCGAAGTTAACGTTTTTCTTGTATTAGCGAACTTACTTCCCGTATTCACCACAAAAAAAAAAAAAAACGTAATGTGACTTTATTATGCATAGTAGTCCTTAAAGGCGATCTTGTACACTTTGTTGAAAGAGAGAGAGTGTCCAGTCCACACAGTCTGATCGCCATCGAGTTCATGGAACCGGAAAGGATTTAGGAGCTATGAGGAAAAATGCAACTGTGAAATTGATGTTTTTTTTTTTGTTTTCATAAAAGTTAATAATTTTGTTAAGCATACTACGCTCGTGCTGTTCTTTTCGAAAAGTTAAACCGAAAACAAATAAGAATATGTAAGTTTTGCCAAAATCTATATATAGAGTTTTAAATATACACTCAGGATCAAATTTGACTCGGAATCGATAAATATTTTTTGGTTGGATAGTTACAATCTGTTTATATTTTCGTGTGAAGTTTGGTCTCCTCATGCCATTTATCTCCACACATTTTTCAGTTTCGAAAATAAAAAAAAGGTCGCAGGGAGCTAAATCTGCTCTGTTGAGGAAATATAGGTCAAAATATTTAACAAAAATGTTTTTGATTCGATTTTTATAGAACTGCTGGACATAAAGAAAGACTCACATATAAGCGTGGCATTTTTTTCCAATGCCAAAATGCAAAAAGGGAGAATCTTTAATTACCGTATTGTATAACTGCGGTACAAACTTTTATTCCGATATACGATATTAATCTTTTTCCACTAACAAAATCGTTGTTGGAGTAAACTTGTGATTTTTTCGGTTGCTACTCTACTCTGCTTTTAGATTTTTGTCCTCAACGTGATATAAACCTTAAAGTCTCTAATAATATTTTAACAATATTTTTTTGCTGTAGTATTTAAAATAATGCTGGATGTCCACATTTATACACATAAACCTCTACACACTTTCATTTGTCTGAAATATATATTATAAACACAACTAAATATATACGACTACTGCAGGCTATAAATTTAATTTTCTTACGTTTGTTAAAGTACTAAAAATTAAATTAAGCATTCTATTAAAGCTTTGCAATTATCTCTAAATCTCAATTTATTTCGGTATAAAAGATACGAAGCGCAAATAAATCATATCCTTCAATCCTTTGAGTTTATTAAAATTAAATTACGTCAATTTGGCTATGACAAACAATTCATTACAACTTGATTTATAGTTGCATACAAGTGTGCTACATACACATATGAGTATACATAATGAACATATGCACCCACAAATATTTGCATTGCAATTAGAAGTCCACTTCAATTCGGAGAATATCCATCAACACGCCACGCTGCCGCCGCGCCAATTACCTGGAGGGCAATTTTCAAATGCAATTCCCATGAAATCTGATATGTTTGTGGTGTAAATGTAATTTTCCATAACTTGAGCCGCACAATTATAGCCGAGGCCTTGTCAGCAGCGAAGTCGACCGCGCTGATGAAGGTGGCGGCGACGGCGGGACGGCAGCTTATGTTTTGTGGTGGCAAATAAATTAACGCGCTTTGTGTTTAAATTCATTACAGAATGCATTAGTTTCAATCAACAAAGAAAAGTTGCGCAGAAAACTTGTAAATAATTGAAAAAATGGAAAAAAATTGGAAAAAAAAGTTAGAAAAAATATTAGAAAAAAAATTGGAAAAAGACCTACAAAAATAGTTGTTAAGCTATTTTAAAATATGATGTGCCACAATTAAGTAGCACATGCGGTATACTAATTTGTGGCACACAAAAGCACACACACGTCAGCCGTAAACACGCGCTCACGAACACTCAACACGCAGCGAACAGACAAAAACGCAATGGCAAATGTATAATCTGTTGAAGTGCAAATAAATTGTAGCATAGCGGTAGGCGCTTGAACTGGCTAACATGCCATGTCGTACCGTTGCATACAGTAAATGTTGCGGTAAGTTCATTTCACTCAAAAATTCCGCGAATTTTTGTATACCATTTAAGTGAGTGGCATGTCGGGGACGACCTGCAGCGTCAAACACAGAATCAGGCCATTGCGAGCGAGCTGGCAAGGAATGCGCTCGACAGCCCTTACCGCATATTTCAAAATATATACACACCGGAGAGCGTATGCCGCACAACATAGCGACGCCTTTAGTTGAAGTTTTTATATTACTTTTCGTTATTTTTTTTATACATTTATTTTGGCTGCAGGAACTTATTAACGTGTTGCAATCTCCAGCAGTTCACAAGCAGTCATTTGTATTCAAATATATATCTGTGTGTGTGTGTGGGGTGTTTTGTTATAGGCGCGTCCGCGCAATCGTAATCCGTGTTGTTCGCGGCAAATGGAAGTAATCAACTGCAATAACAACCGCACCAACAAATATGGTGCCAGCAAAAAAGCGCTATGACACATCTTGTCAGCCAGCGAAGTTGTGTGATTTTGGTCGCCTGTTGTTGGCAGCAACAGCGCCGCAAGCAGAAACATCCGAATTGCAACCGTAAATGGCATTCACACGAAGTGTGCTATGTATGTCCATATGTACATTCATAAATGCGCTATTTTTAAAACTCACGCGTAGACTTGCGTTCATACGACCCGTTACAATCGTAAATATACTTGGCAGTTGTATTTATCTCTGTCACCAACTTTTCTATAGGTATTGCTGCTGTGCTGACCCCATAGGAAGAGTTATAGTATTCTCTACACAGCCGACTGTTTTATTTTTTTTTTGTGGTATAGTTTTAGGAGCTACGTAATTTTTTTTATAATGAAATTTTTTAAAACCACCTAAAATAGTAGTAAGTCATAAAGCCGGAAGTGATTTCAGTTGTTACTTTTTCGAACAGAAATTTCCACAATTTTATTGAGTTCCTAGGTAGGTAGGTAGAGTGGATTTCTGACGACTCATCTAGGCCTTTAGGACGCCCACTAAAATCGCCTTACTCTATAATGTCCACTCTCAACCACCCTGTGCACCTGTTGAAGTTCATCAATACAAAAAGTTTTACTTGTGCAACCTCAACCGACTTAGTCCAGAAACCCTCGACCGATAGCTGCAAAGTGAGTATTGAGTTCCTAACTCAGTGTCTAGAAGTCTGCGAAAGACACAGTTCTTGTCTCCACCTTTGCTGTGATGACCTCGTAGGAAGAGTTTAGTATTCTATAGTCAACCGCTTAAGAATGTGCTGGAGATTATTCTTTGCTGAGATCATAGTCCAATGTGATCCAAAAGTGGTATTTATTACATTTTTTGCATCTATAAATAAACAATAGGAACCAGCAAAGTTCCTGCATGGTATATGTACTTCTTCTATTTAAAAGCTCTGTATAACGGACTCGAGATCTCAACAGCTCGTTGGACGTAGAAATAGCACTCAAATCTGCCGTAATAAAAAAGTCCTACCAGTCAGAACTTTCTCCTAATAATTATCAAATCCATATGGTAGACCACCTTGGTATGCTTTGAGATGATAATACAGTTCGCGTATTCTGATGTTAGGTTTTTGCCTAACATTAACATTAAATATGTGCTAGCATATTATAAAGCCCTATATACGACTCCAAATCTGAGTCTGTTCACGATTTCTGAGGCCTTATTGCAGTTTTCTTTATTTCAAAGTTCATTTATTCAAGCTGAATAAGAGCTGAATTTGATCTGTAAATTTGTCACAAAAATATCCATACTACAATAGTTCGCCAATGCCAGTCGAAGTTTAACCAGGTTTGCTGATACAGGCTAATAAGCTAAGGCTAAGCCATTGGAAAAAAATTAAGCTAAACCGCTCAATCTCCGTTGATATAATTACTTTATTTAAGGCAGAAATTTGGTAGTACTGAAAACTTCATCTTAACCTAAAAATTTATAGTCGAATTTAGACCAGTTACTATAAGTTACTTGAAATATCATGAGCACTGTTCTCTGAACCTTTGGAATGCGCAAATATGCCATTATGTCGCATTCGTGTCTTACGACGAACATAAAGTTCTTCAAAATGTTTTTTTTAAATAATTACCGACCCCAACGACGCCGCATAGACCATCCGAAAACCGCATGTCATAAACTCATATACAATAACAGACACTACGACTTGTATGAGTTTTATATTTTTGCAGCGAACTGTTGCGGTTTATAACCTCATTCAACATGCAACAAATGTTGCAAGTATAATTTAATTGTGTTGACGGCATTATGATGTCTTTTTTTTTTGTCGTTATCTATTATTATGCCTCGCTAAGACCACAAATTGTTCTAATTACCGACATAAAATTTTCAATTATTTAGAGGAATACAACTATGTTTTACATATACACGTGCATAGATTCTTATATTTACTTTTTCACATGTTCTAAAAATGATTACAAAAACAAGAAGAGCAACAATTAATTTACGGTTTTCCTTCACTACCGCAGAATGGCCGTTGGTGTTGTTAACTGCTCCAAATTATCTTGTCCAGTTATGTATTTCGAATATTGCGACTCAGTGTTGATAATGCTTGATGCGTGATTGTAAGATTTATAGGAGAGTTGGTCGATACTCTATGTTAGGTGCATGATAACGCCTAATTTGACTGATTATTTTGATTGGCACATGCAGATAATAGATCAAAGATAATAAAGATATAGTTGTATGACAAATGGTAAATGATAAATGACAGATGATATACTAGTATAGATGAAAAATGTGATGGTTCCAATTATAGAGGATATATGAAAAATGGAAAAAAATAAAAGGTGGTAGATAATGACAAATAGATCGAATATTTGCTGATAAAAAATGATAGATGTCAATATTATTATTTTAATATGGCAAATAATCAATATATATAAGATGATAGATAATAGTTGAACTGTAATAAATGCTTGACGTCATATGATTGCTTTTATTTATGTGTAATACATAGATTATAAAGATATATGAAATATGATAGAAAATATGTAGTTTTAATATATGATAGATATGAGGATATATATCAGTGGCGTATCCAGAATTTCTTTCTAGTGGGGTTTCTACACAAAACATGTTCCTTACAACATATTTTTAATATTGCTGCAAACTCGTAAATTCTTCTGAACTTGCATTAAAATTATTTACCGCGCTCTGATTTTTTGGTAGTAGCGAACTCTATGAACCGATCTATTCACTACTTCAGACATGCAATTTTTCCTCTAAATTTCATCAATGTTTTATTATTACCGAACCATCATTCTCCGAAATATTTTATCCCCATGATATATGTTACAAATAATGATAAATTGCCAAACTAGTTTGCTGAGGAATGAATGCAAAGGGATTTTTCAATCGCTTATCGTGAGTTATTATTGATGAGTAAGGATTGAGAATATATGTTTTCATTGTTCAACATGCAAAAATTCTATGCATGTGCGATTGTAATGAGATTTGATGATTGACTGTGATATTAAGCGACTAATGCGTGAGCAATTAAATCATAAAGGTCTTTCAAATACTAATCAAGAACTAACTTTATTTACTGAATACGATACGAAGCCAATAATAAGTGATTAACTGAATAAATGAAAAGTAATGACAAAAATACTAATTGTAAACTATGATGTTGAGTAAGGATTGAGAACATATCTTTTCATTGTTCAGCATGCAAAAATCTTATGAATGTGCGACTATAATGAGATTTGATGATAGACTGCGATATTCAACGACTAATGCGTGAGCAATTAAATCATAAATTGATGATGAATGTCATGTTTCTTTTTTATGTGTTCAGCTAAAAACTTCTATAAATTTGACTTGAAAGACATTTGCATTAAAATTGCGATGTGCTGTGAATAATTATGAGCGATGAATAAACTGATTGAAAAGTATGAATTTATCTAGTTTTCAACGTGCAAAATTTTTAAAAGTTAGTGACGTATAATGATGTGTGAAGCATGAAAAGTGATCGATGATTGGCATTCGATGATTAATGATAAATATTAAACGATTAAACGATAAGTGATGATGAAGTGAAGTGCATAGATGAATAATAATGACGTAAACATAATTAAAGATGAATAAACCACGCAAAATGATTACGAAATTGTGACTGAAAAATAAATGAATGATGTATTGATGATGGATGAATTAAATAGGTTGAAATTAAATACGAATCATTCATGAAAATGGGCGAATGAATGATGAGTGACAACTAAGTGTTCAAATAAATCAAATGATGAATTTTTCATTAATAATTTTTATATTTATCGATATACTATGATTCATGCCAATGATAAATGAAGCATGCCAAATAAATAATTGTGAAAAGTATTCAAGGTGTGCCATTAGTGAATTATGTGAAGTGAAATGCAGTGAATGATGAATTCTAGAGGATGAGTATGGAATGAATGATTAATTTTTAAGGGTGAAACACGATTGGTAGTTGCTGATATTGAAAGAATTATTATTTATAATTTCTGTTTTTCGTTAAATAATTTTAATTTATGATTTATGACCATGCATTTTTACTTGAGATATAAATTTTATTTATTTATTTGGGAATGAAGATCTTGTAAATTATGATTAATGTGACATGATTTGTAATTTATGACTTTATTTCGTTTTATTGTGATTGAAAATTTTAGATTTTGTGGTTGAAAATCCATGCTTGCTAATGTAAAATGACTAAGTGAATAAGATGAATGAAAATGTATTACTCTAAAGTGATTTCTTAACGATTTCTTTGAGTTTGCTGTTAAATCCTATAAAAAGAAAAACATGCATTATTGATGGACGATTTATCTATGCTGATGAATTTAGTACCCAATATTGTTGTGCCGATATATGAAATACTTTAAAACTAAAAATGTGCTATGAAAAATTTTATTCTTAAATGGGTACATGCAAGTGCTTAGAATATAATGACAGATGTATTGGAAATGTGTGTGATGTTCTTCGAAGAGTATAATATATGTATGTGTGTCAAAACTCTGATAGTCGAAGTGTTGAGTTGTTTGTATGTATAGTTGAAACTATATGAAAAATATGTATTTGTGTATGTGTATGTGAATGTATTGCTGAGATTTTTATGGAGCGAATTTCGATAGTACAGCCAAAATTACGACATCTGAGGACAAAACGATATTGAATGTACTCTCATTAATGCTGTTGATAACACTAATAACGTTTACCTAATGCAAAATCCATTTCGAGGTGAAAATTTAAAGGGTAATGCATACAAAAATGTATGTTTCATTGATGAACTTCTGAAAGTGATCCTGACCGCTTTACTTTACACCCATTTCCGCTAGCGCTCTCGTCGCTGCCGCACCCATTTCATGTTCACTCGAACCAAGCGGCTCTAATAGTAGAATATCTCGACTCTCTTGCAAACATTTAATCACCTCCTTAATATTGCGTTTGAATTCTGTCTCACTTATATCGCCAGCCATCATCAAACGCTGCGAACGCATCATAATGGCGCCATGTAGCTCATATAGTATGAGACCTGCAAGGGATTTTTAGAATTTTTGTATATTTTCTTGTAAATTTTCATAGTCGCTATTGTGCAATGCTTCTCTATTTATAGTTATTTTATTTAATTTATATTTTTGCTTTTTCACTATTTTTATTTTTTAATTTTTTTGTATAAATATACAATAGACTTTTATTCTAGAAGCAGTTATATTTTTTACTCACCCCTCAAACGTGTTAGGCTTGGTTCCAGCACATTTATAATACCCAAAAAGTGACGACAATAGTTTTCTTTCCTTTCTACATTTGCCAACGGCATTGTATGCAGCAGATAACCTTCAATACGACCGTAAATTTGGCAGAGAGAATATTTTGCTGAGAGCAGTAGATAGTGATTGGGCCCTAGTACACGTTCATACCTGTGAATGAACAGTTATTTATTTATAATATATATGTTCTATTTGCACTCTTTTCACAGCTATCTTATAATAATGGAAATGAGACTACTGATGGCACATAACCTCACTTTTTCCACAAGCTGATAAACATGAAACTATTTTGTAATTTTTAACATGAAACAAAGAAGTAAACACAAAGATTCGAATGAAATTCAAGATTGTGTTCTACGGAAAGTAGGCGTAGTTCTAGTCTGATATATTTAATTTATTTTCAAATAGTGACATAAGGAACTTCAAATATTGTTATGCTTCAAATTTAATTGAGATCGATCTAGAAGTGGTTAAGATATGAGATTTAAGTTGAAATAGGTAGGGCCATATGCCTTTCCTAAGGTTTAGAGTATATCATGAAATGCTTGAAAAAAAATTGCCACTCAGTTTGGTGGATATAGCTTAAGTAGTTTGCGGTATACACATATATACATTAAACTAATTAGAGGGTCAGGCCACTCATTATAAAACATTGAACTCGTTCCTTTTTCAACTCAGCCATATTTATAATATACTTAGGCAACAATTCTTGTGTTATTACTCACTTTTTCAGAAAACCTTCCAGTCCTGGTACATTGTGCACATCTATGCTCTCCAAATTCATATTTATTGTGTCCAATAATTTAACAATCTCCGTCGATTTTAGCGTGTAGTCACAGCGATCACAGCTAGTTCCAAACAAAAATTAAAAATATACCATATTTTGTAACAAAAAACATTAACTTACCTCCATGCCGCCGACTGATTTAGTGGTTCTACAGAACGTACAGATCCACATTTGCACTTCGGGCACAACAACGCACTACAGTCCGTGCCGAGCTCTTTCGGATCGGCGCAACGCAGACAACAACACCAGAACAATTTTCCGGCATGCATGAACTCGCGACGCTTCAGGGTACCCTGTTTGTGTAAGTTATATGTAAGGAATTTAGTAAAATTTTTACTACCTTCCGACAATCGCTCTCACCTGCAACGTGTAAGCATAACTCAACGTGATGCTCTCGTCCTTTCGTATCGATCGTGATGTGCGTAAAATGATCGCGTAACTTCGTGGATCATCGGTGTGCGCCGTATTGGGACAACAATCGTGCGCCAACAAAAATGCGCTCTTGTACAAACAACGCGCCTTTGCCGAATTTTGTCCGATTTCAAAACAGTTCACATCCAAAATGCCACAGATGTTATGTATCTCATCGACGGTGAACATCGCCATGCCCCAATCGCGTTGCAACCGTTGCACCACATTCTGCTCATAGTACTGCCACAATTCGGTATTGGATTTACGCAACTCGGTGTGTGATTCCATTTGCAAAATGTCCGCATACTTTTCAGGCGCATGTTGCTTGAGTAGGAAAATGCGCACAATCAATATGAGTTCATAGTAGTTCTTAACCAAATCGGGTTTATCGCATATGGCAGCCAATGCTGCGCCCAGATTGTGCGTACGCAGCAGCTCACACTCCTGTTCGGTATGTCCTGTGGGCTGATGTAAGCCACGGCATTGCGGTGCACACATAGGCCATTTGCAAGACGAGCAGCTAACGAAAAACAGCAAAGAAACTAATTTTATTATATGTATATATGTTGGTATTTTTAATTCTTTGCTGCTACCTTAAATTTTTCAAAAACTCAAAAATTCACAAATTCACTTCTGTAATCATATTTTGAATCCAGATTCCAAAATGTTTCGAATTTCCCAAACTACTAAGTTTGTTCCGCTTTTCAGCACTGTCACGGCATGACTGAAGCACTTCACTTATTGATCGCCTTTTTAAATGCTTCTGGTACAGTTTCGAAATATGATTGCTCATACTTAAAAAGTTATAAAAAGCTATACTTGTAGAAATACCTACATGTTTGTATGTGTTCATCAATACACAAATTTATTTAGGTTCAGTTGTTTTTGTATGTAAATGAAATACAATTTTATTAATAGTTCCGCATCTCGATCTACGTGATCTAAGACACAAACTGCAGCAGCGCCAAAACAAAATAATAAATCCAATAAAATTCATAAATGTTTTTCTAAAAATACGCTTAAATATCATACCTTGTAACTAAAAATAGCTGTTCACAATAAAATCTGTCGTTTCATCGCTGCGTTTAACAATTTTTGAAAATCAACATTTTTGAAGTACATATTTGTGGGTGTGTCTCGGAAAATTTTCAAAACAAATATACAATTTTGTGTTGTTTTTTATTGCATTAACCTTCACAGTTGTCACCTTTTAGATTAATTTTATGTTTTCTAATAAATTTTAAAAACAATATACAGTAAACAACAAATACATTAAAATAGCTTTCTAATTTATAGTTTCCTCAGTGGTGGGCGGAAAAACACACTCATATAAACGTTCAATAATTGAGACAAAGAAAGATAAATGATAAGAGCTACGTAGGGATATAAACAAGAATCCATGGGGCTAATGCATATCGCAAAATGTGTCAATATAATCGACACACTAGAAAGTCCTTTCAAAATGCCCCTCTATTTGATGAAAATGATATGAAGCTATCTTAAACTTAAAGACAGGGAACTGCTATACGATACACGTGACGATCCCCAAAGTAAGGAAATAACCCCCGGAGCAGCACAGCGTTCAATACTCGGCCCAGATCAATGGAATGCCTGCTACGACGGAATTTAAAACATCCAAATGCTAGACGACTGATAACTTGTTGGCTATGCAGACGACATCGCTGTCAGATGCAAACTAACGCAAGTTATGCTCCGTACACATACATTACTGTACTCACACGGCCTAGCCCCAGAAAAAACTGAAACACATCCTGCTGGATGCAAGTGCACTCAGAAACCATCAGAACGACGAAAACCCTAAAATACGTAGGAATATGAGGGGACAACAAACTGCCGTACTGGGTCCAAATTCAACATGCTGCAACATAGTCAGCCAATATAAATATGTCGGTAGCAAGACTTATTGCAAATACCGGTGGCCCGCTTGCAAGTAGAAGGAATTACTCATACAGTAGCGAAATAGGATCGATACATTTTATGTTAAACAGATTTACTCGTAGAGGAGAAAAGACAACTCCGGTTACGATAGAACGATGAAAAAGAACTTCATATGCTCACAAGACTACCAGCAAGGAAGCAAACACTCGAACTCTGGCATGATCGATGGAGAAGGGAGCGCAAAGGAAGATGGTCAAAGCCATAGATATATGGCACAGTAGAAAACACGGCGAGGTGAACTGCTACTTAACACAGATGCTCTCCGGACACGGAGAAGGAGAACTAAATACGGAAAACCTATTAGAAAAAATTATAGCTAGCGGCGAAAACTGACAGCAAATTGCCTAATACTTGAAATATGTACTACGCACTAAGAAAATGAACATGGAGAGGTAGAGATTCTCTGCTATATCTCTGCTATCAACACGGCGATTTTCAAGCACTGTTTCTTTAAACTTTTCAATGTTATCGTCATTAAGCGAGGTGGTTTTTAATTACTTAACTGAATGCTTTCTGCCCCTCAAATTATATATAGCTGTGATTCCATTGGAAACAAAATATTTCAAGCAAATTCCTTGTTACATCTTTTTTGTTGGTAAAAATCCGCCAAACACAGACTAATTGACATATGGAAATCACACTTTACAAGAACATAAAGAAGTTGGTAGAAGTCTAGAAAAAAATGTTTTATCAATTCGATTTGCGCGCGCAGTATACATGGTGGTGCATGTTCGGGCTAGATCAGATGGTATTATTTCATGCAAGCGATAGTTTGAGTAAAATTATCGTAAACGATATTAGGAGTTAAAAGTGCTTGGAAAAGTAAGTGAAGATTAAATCCTGTCTAAAAAATCTGTATCAGTACTTCCCCAATGTAACTTTAATAATAATTTTCAAACTATCACATAAATCGGTGAGTATGTAAGTTGATTTTAAAAATTATGAGAAAATATAATGTTCGGCTACATACCACCATAATCCTTCTCTAATTGTTTATATTAGACATAAATATGCATATTGAAAATACAACCACCATTTATATATCATACTCGTATACTCCTCTGAATACTCCAGCTTACCGATATTGTGCTGACTGCAACTCCACTGGCATATAACAACCCAAGCACACGGCGTCCGCTGAAACACATGGCCCAATGGCTAAAGCTTCCTCTGTAATGAGCAGCTCACCGGCTTTTAAGTCGCGATTCGCCACCAAGTAGCGACCCAATACTGTTGATTTTTCAATTCTATAGGGTAGCTGCTTTGATGTTGAATCGCAAGACTCAATATTGTCTTCTATTTTCGATGGAGAACTTTTTTTAGTGCTAGATTGCGGAGGCGACTGTTGCTGTTGTGCTTGCTGTTTGTGATGCTTCATTTTATTTTTCTAAAATTCGTGCAAGAAAATATATACACATTATTTATCTATTTTAAAAGCAGAAGCAATTTAAGTGAGTCATTAATGTGCTGAGCAGTTTAGCGTTGCTTTTTGTTAATTTTATGTATTTATCTTTATTTTAATTGTAAATTCAACAATCAGCGAGGTCATGCCATTGCACTTTTCAACTATTTTCCGCACATCACGTTTTCATTCATAAAAAAGCGCCATTCATCGTGTTAATGGCTTGCAAGTGCCAAAACGTACAGGTGCTCAATTAGCCGGCAATCGATTAAAAAAAGCGCATACGACTTAGTTTCTCCGCGCATTATTCATGTCCACTAAATATATAACTATGTATGTGTTTCAAGATTTGTAAACAACATTTGTTTGGCACGCGTTCTGTGCCGTTTGTAAAAACTAGGAAGTTTTGTGTTAGCAAAGCAAAAACTGCAAAAACCAAAAAAGCACATGTGAGTACATAAGAGAGCGGTGATATTTGGTGAAAAGTGGGTCTTTGTGTCAAACGCATACGTGGAAAACGAATTAGCAGAGCGTGCATGTGGAGAACGACAAGAGCGCAAATGATTAGCAACAAATCGAAATTTAAAGAGAGAGAGAGAGAGAGAGAAAGAATGTACTTAGGCCATCACAAAGAGAATTAGGTATTTTATTAAAAATATTTGTATAAAATAATAGGAAAAATAATAAAAAAAAAACACATTTCAATACATGATAGTATTTCCTAAAGGTATGTTCACATTACTACGAAAATTACTTATTTCGTGACAAAATACTACTAAATAAACTGCATACATACTTGTGATTCTTTACAGTTTTGTAAGAATTTCTCGTTCTTAATATTTTGAACAGAGGCATTTTCAAAGCCACCATATTTCTAATTTTATTTACTTGTTATGATATTTTGGTTTCTTTGATGAGACCTTTTAATGAAATTTTGGGGATAAAAAATTGGTAACCAAATAGTTTCTATACAAATATTTCAAAGTATACTTATATTACAGTATGCAGCACCTGTTGCTGTTGCATCTGTTGTTTTTCGCTGCCGTAAAAAGCCTTTATCAAATATTGTTGGTTGCATTAAATCAACATAATCATTTAGAATTAAACTTAAAAATTATTGTCTCCCCTTTCAGAGATGAGTGAGATAGGGGTGAGATGGTCAAGGACACAGTATCAGATAAGTATCTATATGGATAACGGGTTCAAACTAGATAATCGAGTGGAAGGTGGTGTCTTTTCAGCAAAACTAGATACCAGATCACTGCAGTGTCTTCCAAGCGGAGCACATAGCTATTAAAAAAAGGATTCTTGTTCTGACAAGTTGTGTGCTCACAACAATAAATATATTTATACACCATATAGAGATAACCAATCACTAAAGTCTCTTAGGATTCCATCGAAGATAGTGAAAGTGGATCTAACATCCTATTTCACTTTAAAGCTACAATACATTCCAGCACATAGTCATATTCCTGGCAACTGTGAAGCAGATGAACTAGCCATAGCAGGCACCACTCTACAATTAGACTCCGATAAAACGGGAATACTTATATACCTTTGTTTACTTGTAGATATTTAATCGACAAATATGTTATAGATATAATTGAGTCCCTAACTTACTCAACACTCTGACAAACGTGGTCAGATAAACGTCTGACAATAAGAAAAACATAAGGTCTATAGCAGGAGTGCTAACGAGTCACAGGCAGACATGCCAGTAGACTGGGGATACCATACAATGACTACTGTAGAAGATACCAAGAGGTACATAGAAGAAGAAGAAATTATAGAATATATTTTATGCAAATGCAAGGTTTTGTATAGGAAAGGAATCACAACTGTCGGCCGAGGGTTGGTTGGCAATGTCTCGAAAGTTGCATATATACAACGTTTTGAATAGATGAACTTCATCTTGAGCACAGTGTAGTTCAGGGAGGACATAATAGACTGATGGGATAGCAGTCCTCGTGGTTTCACAATGAGCCTCCTAAATTAATTAAACCCCTATTGTGTGAGATTATGGATGCATAGTTGCTATGTATAGTACGATCTACTCTCCCGGGCTACTATAATTATATCATTAGCTATCATGTATGGCTACTATCATGAGTATACTAGATAGTGCAACTGACAATGCTGTGTTTACATTTTTTGACAAGCACTGTTTGAAGTTTTTGCCAACAATGAATAATTAAAATTTAAAGTAAGCAAATTTCTTTAGAAACGGTTAACAAACTCATAATCTAAAAAAGAGAATGGCAACACATTTGCCTGTAATTAGTAGCCAACAGCCATGCATAATGAAAATATTGGTATATGGTAGTTATATTATTCATAAACTAAGAATAAGTTACAAATTAAGATAATGTGAATATAGTTTAGGCGAAATTTTGAACAAATTGTAAAAAAATACTTTTGAATTTATAAGTTTTTTAATTTTTTAACATTCTAATATTTATTATTTCTGGAAGGAAATTTTAAAACTGGCAATAAAATTCAAATTAACAAAATTGCAATATCTCTACGCTCTCATTTTAATTATGTATCTAGAAATTTAATTTCATTTAACTTTTGTTTTTCATCCCAAAAGCAATACAAATCGCTCGCGCTTGCCTATATATCATTAGCGCTAGCAATCAGCTAGTTATCAAGCTCTGTGGCAATTTATTTCACTGCTGCCAACGAAATTTTGAGCAGCTCTCTTTGTTTATTTTACTTTTTGTTCGCATTTATTTTTAGCAACCAATGAAAATTTGTTGTTGTAGTTTTTGTTGGCAATTGTTATAGCTGCTTATGTAGGCACTTTTGTGCATACCTACGTACACATATACATACTTATGAGCGCTCATATTCGCGTGGCGCTGTGCATTAATTCATTGTAGCTGGTTCCCATGCCACCACTGCGTATACGTAATATCTAACTTGTTGGCTCACAATAGTATATGACATAAATTTCATTATACGATGTTTGAGTATTTAGCAGATGAAAATATTTATTCGTTTTCCCAGTCATATGGGATATTTGTTAATTATTGTTGTTGGTGTTTCAAAAAGATTGCTGCATTTCGCACTAAGCTTGTTGGTTCGAAAAGTTTATTGTAAACATAGCATGCGTGAGATATTTCAGATATTTGTTAACATGTTTGGTTTTGATTTTTATTGTGATAAATTTTGGTACATTTCAAATAATAAATAATAGAAATTTTGGTTGGAAAGTGTTGGATTTTAGAATTAGAAACCTGTTTGGCATATTTATTTTTGAATATAATATACATATGACAATAATGTGATTTTATATATATGTATTATGTATCGTATATAGAAAACAAGGCCAAAAGTTAATTTCGGTTGTGCTGAAGCTATAATACCCTTTACAAATACAAAACACTCCTTACAAGCACTTGATTCCGATCGTTCAATTTATGCTATAGGGCTCCGATCTGAACTATTTTTTCGCATATTACACCGTTATCTTGGACACAACATAAGTTAAGTAAAGATATTTCATCAAATGAAAAAGTTTTCGATACTACAAGGTGCGTTCCAAAGTAAACAGTAAAAAAGAAACAAAGTAAACTCTAGTACGCGCCATCTATATTTCGACTAGTGCGTTAGAATCTGCTATCCTTTATCGACTTCTAGTGAAAATTTCATGACATTTTATATATTGGAAGTGAAGTTATTGCATTTTAAGTGTCAGTATGTTTTTGTCATCGGTACGAAAATGAGCTTCGTACAAAGAGCCAACATTAAATTTTGTTTTAAAATTGGTAAAACTTTTACCGAAACATTTCAATTGATGAAACAAGTTTATGGCGATGATTGCATATCCCATAGCAGAGTGCACGAGTGGTTTCAACGTTTTCAAAGTGGTCGTGAGGACATATATGACGATGAACATGTGGACCAACCAAAATCGGTGATCACCGAAAATTTCATCGAAACTGTGCGTTAATTCATAAAAAATCAGCCGAAATCATCATTGAAATTCATGGAAATAGAATTGAACATCTCCAAAACATCGATTTATCGCATTTTGACCGAACATTTGGGCTTACAAAAGGTGTGTGCACGGTTTGTTCCGCACAAATTGACTGACGACCAAAAATTGCTCAGAATTCAACATTCGAAGGACATCATTAAAGTGGCAAAAAAAGACCCGAACTTCCTTTACAAGATTGTGACTGGTGATGAAACGTGGTGTTTTCAATATGATCCCGAAACGAAACGCCAGAGTGCTGAATGGAAGGCGCCGGACGAGCCGAAACCCAAAAAGTCGCGCCTGGAGAAGTCAAAAGTGAAGACAATGCAAGTTTTGGTGATTCCAAGGGTATTGTCCACAAAGAATTTGTTCCACCCGGCTAAAACGCTAATGCGGTATTCTACTTTGGAGTTTTGAAGCGTTTGGTGCGCCGTATTCGACGTGTTCGCATCACATCACATTTTAACAATCAACCACTCTCCGTATTCACCTGATATGGCACCGTGGGACTTCTACCTTTTCGGAAAAAAGCATTTGCCGATGAAAGGAAAGCGTTATGCAGACGTGGAGGCCATTCAAAAGGCTTGCACCGGC